TTGTTTCGGCTAGAAATCGCTCGATCTCTATTTCAAATTTTTAGTTGTCTACCGCTATACGGTTTAATGATATCTATGATTTTCATTTAGATACTTAAGGTTAAAATAGTATTTTATTAAAACTTCGCGTTTTACGTTTAATCGTATTGACGGTTTTGTTGTGAATCTTAGCTTGATCATAACTTCTTCGTTATAACTCGGATTTTAGTGTTCTTTATATTTCTGAAAACCTTGTCATGATAACTATCATTTATAAAATTCAGTAGATGGCTTTTGAACATTTTATTTTCGACAATAACTTCATTATATTAAAAGGGGTTACAATTCTTAACATTTTAGATCATTACATTGATTCGAAATATCAGGTTATCACATCAACATACCAGATGTTTTACCTTCTTTTTCTTTTTAGGTCTATTTGAAACTTCCATAGAGTCACACTTTAACTGCTTTTAATAGTCTACAATTAAAACTGAGGGTTTGGTGATGTTTTCAAAAGAAAAGTATATTTTTTAAGAAAGGAAAGTCCTAAGATAAGAAAAGGGTGTGGTGCATGCAATCATCCGAGCTCAAGTAAGTTTCTCCCAAAATACGCATACATGTTATCTGATATGATTTGATTTATGAGTCTGTGAATCGCATGCTAGTTATGGCTAAGAATATGCTCAGGTTTTGCATAATAGAATGCTATGAGAGATGCCTTGGTATGTCTATTGTATGAGCTGATAGACTTGCATACTAGAGTTGATTAGTTCGGGATAGATTGACTTGATTTATGTGATGCTTTGTAGTCTTGAGAGTATTGGATGCTATGTTGTAATGGAAATATCTACTGATATCAATAACTACTAAGTGTTTTCTTTAAAAATTATATACGGTTAGGATCTTATAGCCCTAAAATAATTGATTTAGCCTTATTTCCCATTCCTTGTCTGATTGTGGCCCTAGGGTAGAGTCTATTATTCGACAATCTATTTGATCCTATTTTTTGTATAATTTGCATGCATAAGGCAGCCGACAGTGAGGGTGGAAATTTTTAGCATGAGTTGTGGTATGTATGATGAATGACCTATGATCATTCTATGGATTGGAGTGTTACTACACGAATGTTGCTTGCTTTGTGCTTTGTGGAACTCCTAGGCAATGGGAGTTAGCTACTAAGTGAATATGAAAGTATTGTTTTGACTTTGATAGTTCAGGGATCTGTCAGCCATCAGCCACATATTTTCTGTTTGATTCAGCAATGAGAGGTGAGTCTTCTCACTGTATTCATGGGTCGAAGGCACCAATATCGGCCCATTACGTGTTATGTGATATGCTAGTTGTCTCTATGATACTTACATGGAAGACCCCGGGGGGTAGCCCGTGGTACTTGGATATTAGACCTTAAGGGAGCCCATGACAGTCCAGGTAAAGACCCCGGGGGAGCCCATGGCCTTCTAAGTAAAGACCATGGGGGAGCCCATGACACTCCAGATAAAGACCATGGGTAGCCCATGGCAACTATATATATGTTGCATGATAATCTGTGGTTGTATGTTGTATGATAGTTTGGGAAAACTCACTAAGCTTTATGCTTACGGTTTTCAGTTTATGTTTCATGTACTCCAGTTTTCAATTAAAAGAACTCGGGATAATTGCAGAGCACACACCACATGTTTCCGAATTCTGTTGATTACTCTGATTTGATGATGCTTTGATAAATATTGGTTACCCTGGTTTTATGGAAATAATATGTACTAAAGATTTATTAATCTAAAAACAAAAATTTCTTTGTCATGATTATCGGAACGTTACATCAACCGAATCAAAACTGAACGAAGGACAAAGCGAAGATCGTGGCATGTTTCCTTACTCAATCCTCTCATGAACCCAAGTATTCATCAAATATTATAAGTTTCTTTGGAAATAAGGTAATTTACTGTCGCCAAGAAAATCATAGTAGTTCTCATGTTATGCTATTATATATTGTATATAGTTATCAGGGTGAACAATAATTTTATTATTATTTTAATACTCTTAACAAAATTTTTGTTGTAGTGCTATCAAGCAAGGTATTGTCGATGTATCGGATGTATTATGACATTTAGTTACTAATTACAACATGAATGCATAATTTTTTTCTACACATGTTTTGTGTAGTTCAACCTAATATTACGTAAATTGACTTATTAAGGTAATTAATTTTCGGTTTATTCATATTTAGGTAACTATCTTTTTTTTTGTACACGTCTATGTAAAATACTTTTTTGAAGTGTTCACACATAACCGTTATAACCGATTGTAGTAAGTAGGTTACATCTGCTCATAATGGTTATATATGAACACTTCCAAAAAGTTTGTTACGTAGACTTGTATAAAAAAAGTTACCCAGGTGTGAACAAACCAAAAATGTAATAGTAAATTATACGAATTCTCCTTGTGGTTTGCGTAATTTTCACGTTTGGTCCCTAACTTATTTTTCTAACTCGGCTGGTACCTAGTGTTTATTTTTATTGTGCGATTAGTCTCTACTGTTTATTTTTGTTTCTAACTCGGCTGGTCCTACTGTTTATTTTTGTTTCTAACTCGGTTGGTCTTACCTAAAAGAACTATTGTTCCCTTATTATTATTTTTTTTCTAATTTATGTATTAATTTTTTTTATATGTTTAAAAAATTAATAGATCCCACATATTTGCACCTCCTCACCCTAAACCTAAAACCACAGTTGGAAAATTAAATCTGGGTCCCACCAGTCACCATTTCATCTCTCATCCTCCTCAACTTCTATTTCCTTTCCATCTTTAGTGACATCGATATTTTCACCACCTATTCTTTTTTCGGCCCTTCAACTCTGACAGACCAACACAACAACTCACTATCTCTTCATCGAATTTCCACCACCACAACCCAATGCATTACAATCCTTACAGGAAACAAAATTGATACCGGAAAGAACAATTGGAGAACCAGGTCAATTGAAAACCATAACTTGAAATGCAAATAAAAACTTGAAACTCTAATAACAATATTCTAAGCTTTAACTCATCAAACGGTGTGTTTTTTATTATTATTATTATTATATTATTGGTCTCAATTTCTGATACTTGCAGTCTTTAGTAAATTTAAATTTTATATTTATATCTTAAAAAATAAAAGACGATGTATTTTTTTCAAGTCAAATCTAGAGTTTTTTTTTTTTTTTTTTTTTTTTTTTTTTTTTTTTTTAAACAAAGTAGTGTATTTTAAAAAATATATATATATTTACCAAAATGGTGTGATTATAAATATATTTACCATTTAGGTTAAATTTTATATCAGATCAAAATTAGAAGGTAAAATAAAAAAGAAAAGCAGTTGACTTATCATGGTAATTAATTTTTCGGTTTATTCACATCTGTGTATTTTTTTTACATATCTAGATAACAAACTTTTTGAAAGTGTTCATATATAACTATTATGATCTGATGTAACCTGCTGCAGTCGGTCATAATGATCATATGCAAACACTCCAAACAGTTCGTTACTTAGATTTATACAAAAAAAAAAAAAAAAAAATAGTTACCCAAATGTAAACAAACAGAAAAGTAAATTATCTTAATAAATCAATTTACCATAATATTAGAGTAAATTATGTTTTATTTTATGCACAAATACAAAATTCCGCCGCATCACACGGGGTATACTGTCTAGTTTAAACGTAAACATGGAAAAAAAATCTATACGCAATTACGTATGATTTAAGAACTAATCAACGTTTTCTTAGTTTGACTTAATTGCAGGGAATGAATTAGAAAAACATGATACTTATTTATAAGACAACAAAATTATCATTACGTTCTTATATCATAAGTGACACTCGCAGAAGTCGTACAAAGCATGTAGTTTAGAAAGTTGTATTAATTTTGATTTTTGGGTACTTTACTTTGTTTTAGTTAGTATATAGTAATATAGATAGTTTGCATCGTGTATGGGTTACTCATTAAGCTTATTATGTAAAAAAAACAAACATACCCTATGATGAAAAGGTGTGTTGTGTTGGTCATAGTACACAAATACATAGAATGTATATTGTGTATTATTGCATTTAGCCCTGTTATTAAAATATTTTTCAACCGGTAAATTTTTTTGACCTTTCGTAGGCTATGATGACGAAATTCTATGCAAGCGAATTTTAGAATAAAGAAAACCAAAATCCATCACGACTCATTACAATAGAACCATTATCTACATACGACAATTATAGATAAAGAAAAATAGATTTTGGGCGTAATCAAAGAAAGTGATTCACTTATATCAGAATATATATTTATTGGCAAAGTATCCAACAATTTATGAATATCCAAATTAAACCCAACCTAAAACCAAATTGATAGAAATTAGCAAGCAGCGTAGTGAAAATTTAAAAGCAAATAAGCTAGAAACATCTATAACCAGAATTACCTTATTTCCAAAACGGAGGAAACAACCAAAAAGAAAAGTATTTTTTTAATCGCTACTATAAATAGTTAAGTTAGTAAATCAAAAAAATGGTGAAAATAAAAATGTATTATTATTATTATTATTTTGCATTGATATCAAGATCGGTGTTAGGTGTAAGAATTAAAATAAATTATTAAAAAATTAAAAATCTGTAAAATTTTAAAATAAGCTATGAATATTATTTAATAGGGGTAAGATGGGAGTTATACTTCTTGATGTTTCGTTGGTGGTGGAGATATTATCATTATCCTAATCTGTTGTGGACTCGATTGGTTAGATCTTTATATGGTCCTAATGACGGTTGTAGTATTTGCCCTCTAGGATAGTCGGCACAGGTCCTTGGATTGGAGTTATGTGTATGTTCATTTAGTTATGGGACAGAGGTCTTGATATCCGTTCCTTATGTCCTATCAGGGTTGGTGATGGGAGTTATAGTTCTTTTTGGCATGATGTTTGGATGAGAGAGGCGTCTCTTACAACTACTTTTCAGAGAGTGTTTGCTTTAGATACTTTTAAAAATACTACTATAAAAAATCGAATGGATGTGGGTTGGGAGACTGATACTCTTATACGTAGTCCTAGAGGAGGTGTTGAGCAGGAACAATGGGATGGAATTCTTTCTCTCATTCAGGATCTACAACTGCAGTCGATTCCTGATAGGTTGGGTTGGACTATTGATGCTTCTGATAACTTCTCGGTTGCGTCCGCTCGACGATTCATTGATGGTAGCTTACTGTACGCAAGAGGTGGTGAGACTAGGTGGAACAACTAGGTTCCTATCAAGCTTAATTTTCTTTTAGGTTCCTATCAAGCTTAATGTTCTTTTATGGATGATTCGTTTACTCAGTATTCATACTAGAGAGAGACTTTCTTATAGGAGAATTCTGTTAGATTCGATTCTTTGTCCTATCTATTCGTGTAGGGTGGAGACTATTGAACATTTGTTTTATGGGTGCTCTGAGTTGTGTAACATTTGGATGCATAATGTTATTTGATGGGGGATACAGATTCCAGATCACATGTTAATTAATTCTCTTATTACGTGGTTACATCTAAAAAATCGTTTCTTTTTTATGATGTTTATAGGGATTTTTTACGGATTTCTAGCAGGTGTTGTAAAACTAAGTTATGTTGGAGTTCTTGGCTTCACAACCGTACTTCTACTACAAGTTTGATGTAATGACTCTTTTTCTAGCTCATTGCTTGCTTTTATGATATTTCCATGGTTTAAAAAAAGGTAAGAAATAAGGTAATTTATAAAAGTATTTGTAAAGAATTGAAATAATAAAAATGTGAGAATCGAACCAGTGACCTTCTATTTAGGATAAACCAAGCTAAAGCTTCTTTTTTACTTTAAAATGCAGCATATAAGTTATAAATCATTCTTAACCTGATTAAAAAAAAATTAAAACTACTGTGCAGAATAATGTAAATTGTGTAGGAGTATATAATGTTCGAATTTATTTTCATAACAAAAGAAACTGTAGGGGTAAAAATGAAACTTTTGCCATTTGAGAACTTGTACTTTGCTCTTTCCGTCGGTTTCCTCCCGCTCCTCCGCCAAATCGCCGGCTTTGTCCTCACTCTCAATTCCATTATCTACTGAGAGAAAGAGAGTAGAAAGTCGATTTAATATCAAATTTTGCTCAATTCGAACTCTTTCTATCCAGAGACATTACCAGATATACGATCACAATCGATTTGTAGAATCAAGTCAAAGTTTCTACAGGTATAGATGGGAGTAATCGATTTGATAACAAGAGTAGATGTAATATGCAAGAAGTACGAGAAATACGACGTCGACAAGCAAAAGGATGCCACCAACAATATCAATCGGAACGATGCATTCGCCGGACTTTACACCGCCATTGAATCCGATCTGAATCAAGCTGTGGAGGTAATTAGATCTTTACGATATCAAAAGACTTTATTATCACGTTGTGTATGTTGTTTCAGATGTAGTTTTGTTTTTTGTTTGTGTAGAAATCGGAGGTTGCTGCGGCGGAAAAGAACAGGGCCACGGCGGTGGCGATGAACGCCGAGATTCGACGGACGAAAGTTCGGTTACTCGAAGAAATTCCCAAATTACAGCGTTTAGCTTTCAAAAAGGTTTATATTTACGTTACTTCTAACTTATAATTAAGGAATAAACAAATTTTACTTTTTATCGGAACATTCCTTATTTGGTTCTTTTTTATCTTTTCTTTTTAAACGGCTTGCACTCGCACATATTAATTTAAACAATTTGTAAATTTCCGATATGGTTAGGCCAATACATTAAACTAAACTTCATAGTTAAAGTTAAAAGTTAATGCCACAAAAATAACTATTTATATGCTCTTTAAATGTTTTAACAACTTTGATTTTTGCTCTTTATATGTTATATTATATTTTGATTTATCGGTAATGAAGCGATTACCATGTTATGATGGTGTGTCCTATTGGTTGAAGTTGAAATATATAATAATACATATTTTAGTAAAAGTTCAGCCTATAACAAAGATATTCATAGTTGTACTCGATCGCCATCTACGATATTTATTAAATTTGCGATCTAACTTTATGTCTAAACAACAATAGAATACACATAGTGTATTCACCGACTAACACACCCCACCCTGAATCAAAAGTTGATGGTTTTATTCTCATCTTCAATGCATTCCTCTTTCATTTCAAACTATTACGTTTTAAAATATCTATTGTTGACCGACCCATAGCTAAAAATAAAAAAATAAAAAATCCAAAACATAATTGCAAATAGGAAACGAAAGAAAACGTTGAGCCTAAATAGGAAGTGAGAAGTAAATGTTAAGAGTTAAAAATGAGGAAAAAAATCACCGTTATATAAGATTTTGGGGTCTTAGAATATCAGTTAACTTTGATAATTTATGAGGATCGTGATTGCAATCATTTTTAAAATATGTGATTTCTACCCTTATGTCTAGGGTATCACAAAATCTGATTTGGGATAATCCAAATCAGAAATCTGATTGCAATTTGGAAATCAGGCAACTTTCAAATTTAAAACACAGAAAATATACCTTGTTGTTTTGTGTTCTTTGGAGATAGAGAGAACCAGAAGTATGATTTTTAAGAGTAAGTATTGAACCCGTTTTCTGGAACATGCAGTATGTTCTTGTACAAGAAAGGAAAAGTTGTTGGTGGTAGTTACATGCAATTTGGCTCCAAAACAAGTGGTTGGATATATGGTTATTAGACATAATCGATTCTGACATCATAGTGATGTCACCACCGCTAGGGGTTTTGCCCCTTGGACCTCTCAAAGGGCGTATCCATAAACCTCGCTAAGGGGTTGCAACCTCATGGAAGGCTGTACCCAAGGGCGCTGCCCACGAACCCTTGTATACTCGAGTTCACAATTATCACAGCGAGTGTGAACACCGCACATCCAAGCTCGATTAGTAAATGAAACTCGACCTATCTCGTTATTAGTAATAATTACACCAAAATATGTTGATAACACTAGAATCACCAACATTCCTCCCCCATTTTAGTATAGTCCTTAATTAACTAAAAGAAAACACAAAATCAAACTTATGCATAAATGAAAATATCTTGAAGATCGAATTTTCACATTAGTTAATATACATGTCAAATACTTGAGAATCAGGGTGTCCTAAGGACTGATCATATCAACTCATTCGAGTAACCAAAGATACTATACACATAAGTTAAACACAATATCTAATGTTTCATACTTGACATTATTACAACCATGTGTCATATACATTCATGAATGCATAAAAGCCTAGCCTAAGCTTTTCGAAGTTGTATCACTTCACACTCACATATGTAGTCCTTCTATATCATGCACCTATTAATTCACTTTTTCAAAAAGAACTATTAAGAACTTAATGAACCTACTTTAGCAATACAGGTTATAAGCACATACCTTGGGATGTAGTAAACAAATGTGCTTCAATGAATTTAACTTCTAACATTATATTTGTAGGGAATTGGCTATCTCACCCATAGAGATATCAAGTGGTCCTTAAACCTATCCATATAACAGACTTTTTTACCAAGTCTCTAGCTAACCCCTTCGTTAAGTGATTAACTAAATTTCGTTGAGATCGAACAAACTCAATAGAAATGATACCATGAGTAATGAGCTCACATACCATGTTGTGCCTAACACCCAAATGTCGCGACTTTCCATTAAAAACTTAATTGTATGTTTTTTGCCAAGGTGGAAGCACTATCACAGTGTATAGAAATAGGTGATATAGGCTTTGGCCATAAAGGAATTTCATATATCAAATTCCTTAACCATTCCGTTTCTTTTCCAGTAGCTGCAAGGGCTACGAATTCAGATTCAATAGTTGAATTTGTAATGCATGTTTGTTTCTTAGAATCCCATGAAATAACACCTCCACCAAGAAGAAAAAACCAACCACTTGTACAAGAGTGGTCCTCAACATTAGTGATCCAACTAGCATCTAAATATCCTTCCATAGCTGAAGGAAACTTACATAAGTCAAACCAAAATCCATGTTTTTCTTTAGACGTGCCATCACTTTCCTTACTGCTTGCAAGTGATGAGTACTAGGATTGCTGGTAAACCTACTTATCTTCCCTACAACAAATGCAATATAAAGCCTTGTGCTGGTCATAGTATACATCAAACACCCGATAACCTTTGAAAGTAAATCTTAATATAAGGTTCTAATTATTATAAAAGTAATATAAGGGTTTTGATATATATATATATATATATATATATATATATATATATATATATATATATATATATATATATATATAATGTTGTAGAATTCGCTACTCGGTACCTATTCAGTTGACTGTCGAGTAGCGAGTCGTCGGTAGTACTCAGATTCGATAATTCATGTAGAAACATTTTTAGAAAAGTTTATATGTCAAAATCATAAGTTGATAGAAATATGTAACAAAATTAGATACATGTGAATAAACAAAACTGAAAAAAAAAAAAAAACACATAATGGTCTTACTTTGTGAATAATTACTGAAAATTATATATATATATATATATATATATATATATATATATATAGTAATAGTCACATGTGTGTGTAAATAATAAATCATTAAGTATGTTATACATATTAGTCATTGAGTTGTCGAGTTTTACAATACTGCTTGCTTCAGTAAGGGGCCGATCGGGGAGTACTTGAATTTTATAACTCGTCTCTGTAAGGGGCCGAGTAGGGAGTATTCGGCCAATTCGACGAGTTTTACAATACTATATATATATATATATATATATATATATATATATATATATATTATATATATATATATATATATATATATATATATATATATATATATATATATATATATATATATATATAGGGAAGGGTTATTTGGAAACAAAAAAACCCTAAAAATCATAAAAATGCATAAAAATTACCTAGACATTACAAATCTTTTTTTTTTGAATTTTTTTAATCAAAAAATCGTAGCCTTTTTGAAAATTTCGCTGAAAAAAAATAAAAAAAATATATATTTTTTTATGAAAAAAAAATTTTCAAAAAATTTTCAACGATTTTATGTTAAAAGCTGCGATTTTTTGATAAAAAAATTCAAAAAAAAGTTTTGTGATCTCTAAGTATTTTTATGCATTTTTATGATTTTTAGGGTTTTTTTTGTTTTCCATAGAACTTAAACCTATATATATATATATATATATATATATATATATATATATATATATATATATATACACACACACATACACACACACTCACACACAAACACACACACACACAGAGAGAGATACAGAGAGAGAGAGAGAGAGATAGAAATATAGATAGATAGATATATAGAGAGAGAGAGAGTAAATGACACGATTCGTCCCTCGTCCAAGTGTAAAATTGCACGTTTAGGCTCTATTTTTAAAAATTATCTAAGACCATCGTTGCAATGTTTTTTTCTTACTTAGACCGTCCCTAATGAACATAAAATGACTATTTTGCCATTTCTTTTTATTTTTTAATTTGTTTGTTATTAATAATTCAAAAGAAAAATAAAAATTAGGGAAAAATAAAAATGGGCCCACCATCACAAACACTTATCCTCTACCCTAACCCCACCCACATCCTTCAACCGTTACGTTTATCTTCTTCAGTACATCATCAAGATCGGTCACCGGAGCAACCACCGTTGTCACCACCACCGTTGTTGCCACCACCGCCATCGCATCTTCGTCGTTGTCTCCACCTGCACATCACTGCAAGGTCTCGCTTCTCCGTTCGACAATTACTGCATACACTGCCATCACCACACCATCGAGAGTTTACAGATCTACATTTCGATGTTATTTGTTTGTCGTTGGTAGTGGTGCCAGAAAAACGTATCTGCACGCCAGATGTAACTCTCTTTCACCCACTCCCGATAACCATCAGAATCACCCGACCGCCACCACAGCCCTAAACCACTACTAAACCTCATCCGCCAATTGGAACCATTGTCTCCTCCCGCAAAAGGCTTACGAACGGTTGTGTTTCTAGATTTTCGGTTCGTGTTTCCAGATCTATAGTTTCGATCATCGATGTTGTTTCAGATCTATATGACAACTACATCATATTTAAGTGTTCCAGGGGAGATGGAGGATGTTTGACTTTCTTCTGCAAACTACTGAGAGTCACAAGTCCAACATAAGTGGGGTGATAGTGATTACATTTGATGTATTTTTTTTTTCATTTGAGTCTTCATGGAAAAAAGGGTGGTCGAAAGTGATAGGTGATGATTGGAATTGTGGTAGAAGTTTTGACCTTGATGGATATGTTGGAGTGGCCGAAAACAATGGCCATGTTGGATTCGTTGGAAAAGTGGAAGTGTTGGGGTCGTCGGAAAAAATGGAAGTGTTAACTTGATGGTAGAGAAAGATAATATTGGATAGAGGGAAAGTAAGGAAAATGTAAATATAAGCAACGTGTGCCCCACAATTTAATTAAAATATTTTTAATAATTAAAAATATTTAGAAATATATATAATAAATGTAAAAAATTAAAAAAGGGTAATGTAGTCATTTTATGTCTGTAAGGTATGAAACGTGTACTTTTTTACGATATAACGGATGGTTCGAGTTAATTTTTAAAAATAGAGACTGAACGCGTCATTTGATATCTGCATGATGGACTATTTGTGTAATTTACTCATATATATATATATATATATATATATATATATATATATATATATATATATATATATATATATATAACTTCTATTGTTATGCTTTTAATAGACATACTCTTTGGTGTATTTGATTATAAATTACATTTATACTTTTCTAAGTTTTGTATATAGAAATCATGGAACCAACCATCAATAAAAATATCCTATTAAATATTGTTGGATTTATGTCAATTTCGATTTCACAATTCAATTCATCACATCAATACCGATTAACATAAATATGATGTAGGTAAAAGGGCTTTCTAAGGATGAACTTCAGGCACGAAATGAATTGGTCTTAGCACTTAAAGAGAGAATTGAAATCGTTCCTGACGGTGTAAAAACCAAAACTCAACCAACAATCGGTTTGGAATCATCAAGTTCAAATAGAAAAATCATATTTGACACAATGCAAGGTGATTCTTGGATGCGTATGTTTGTGCTTAATTTTTAATTCTATATCGATATTTTATTTTGATTACCAGCTTATGGCAATATCAGATGAAACGTTTGATAACAACTACTACCAACATACTGATGACACCAATAAATTTAGACAAGAATATGAAATGCGAAGATTGCAACAGGTATGTACAACTTAATTTGAATTTGGGTCGATTATCAAGATAAAAACATGAAATTACTATTTAGGTAGATATCTGATCTAAATTTGACTACTCCCTTATGACTATTTGCCTAGTTTTCATGTCTAAATATATTACAAAATCCACAATAATAAAACATTTTCAGTAAGGTTAGTTTTGAAACAACTGAATTTTATAAACTATCAACAAGCTAAAAAATATAAAAAATTAGAAGATCATTGTCAAAATTGGGTTTTGAATCATGGATGAAAACTACTAAAATCTTCTATAATAGATGTGAATTCTTTTCATTATTTCAAAATAAAAAGTTTCTTTATTATTATTATTATTATTATTATTATTATTATTATTTATCATTATTTTTTCTTCCTAAAAGAACTCATATTAAGGATGCTTTAATATATCTCTTGAGACATCAATATTGACAACTAATCAATGGATTTAACTATATGTAGGACGAAGGGTTGGATGTGATTGCAGAAGGACTTGGTACTCTGAAAAACATGGCTCAGGACATGCAAGAGGTATGGTGATATCAATCATTAGTACGCAATCAAAAAAATTACATAAATAAAAATAAATTATTAAATAGATAAATATATTTTTAGATGATAAAAACAATTTAAAATTTAAAATTTTTTAATGGTGCAGGAAGTTGATAGACAAGTGCCATTGATGGATGAAATTGATGACAAGGTAATTTTATTTTCGTGTTGAAATGAACCAAACTAAATGTTAGTCTTATTAAGTGAGCATCTTAATTTAACGATTCTAATAGTTTAAACACTTAATTTGGATTAATATATATGCTTTAATAAATAGATATGACTATTTCATTTTGACTTTATTAATACAACTTAACAAGTTAAGCAAAAAAAACATGACTTAATGAGTTAAGTCAAAAAACATGACTTAATGTATTTAGACACCAACTCTTTACTTATGTCCCTTTCGATTTTTTTCTACTTCTCTCATGTTAAAATCGATAAAATATTATTTATTTTCTATGTCAACCTGCCAACCCGTCAACTCGTCAACCCGAACACGACACAATTGCAGACCTAATAGTTAGTATTATTAAACTTAATATTTAGTATTATTAAGATAATTTTTTAGCTTAAAAATGAAATATACAAGATTTTTTCCATTCATGCACCATTACCCGTTCATACCTTACAGATAATAAATTTAACCAAAAAATAAAAAAAACAACCCCTAAAATCAAACTCAAGCGATTTCATATAAGAAAAACTAATATTGCGATTTATTTATTTATTTATTTTGTATCTAGATATGATATTTTTCCACTTTATAGAAGGGAAAATTGTAATAAAGTAACTAAGTTTACCGAAAATTTTAATTATATATATATATATATATATATATATATATATATATGTGTGTGTGTATTTTCAATTATGTTATTGTATTTACAATTTTGTTGCAGTATTAATGACTGATTCTTCATATATATATATATATATATATATATATATATATATATATATATATATATATATATATATATATATATATATATATATATATCATGGTTGCAGAAATCGGGATTAATCAGCGATTAATCGTGGATTAATCGCTTGGCGTTCTCCAACCGTCGAGGATTAGGACATTAATCGGAAATTTAGGATTAATCGGCCTTGGCGGGATTAATCGGTCAATAAAAGTCAACAAAAGTCAAAATAGTCGAAAAAAAAAGCCAAAAAAGGTCAAAAAAAATTTAATTTTTTTTTTAAAAACGTTCAAAAAACCAACTTTCTTTTTTTACTCCAAAATTTTCAAATTTTCAAAATTTCAAATATTATACCAAAATGTTCACATTTTCGTATTTCCAAATTTCCAAATTACAATTTTTCTTACTTTCTAATTTTGAAGTACTTGTTTTTTCTTAAGATATATTAATATTTAATTAATTTTAATATTTTATTAATAATCTATGGTCCCCGATTAATCCTTGATTAATCTCCGCCAAGACCGATTAATCCCTTAACACCAGTCCACCGTCGAGCTACCGTCAAACGATTTTTACAACCTTGATATATATATATATATATATATATATATATATATATATAATATATATATATGTGTGTGTGTGTGTGTGTGTGTGTATTTTCAATTATGTTATTGTATTTACAATTTTGTTGCAGTATTAATCAAATGACTGATTCTTCATATTCTCCTAGTAACTAATTTGCCCAAATTGCATAAAATCCCTAAGTTTATCGAAAATTTCAAATTTGATATCATGTTTTTTTTTCAATTATTTATTTATTTATTTATTTGTCAATTATGTCATTATATTTATGATATAGGTGACATTTTTACATTTTCTTTATTATGCCTAATAACTTGAAATTATACTATTATCTTGAATGGCTCAAGATCTTAAACTAGCCAACATCTTCACACTGTCATCAGATTCCTTGGATCGATCAATGCAGGGAAAAAAATTTATTCAAAATAACATGGACTAAGTTAAAAGGCATGTGGTAAAAAAAAAGAGTCAAACAAGAATCAATGAACAGCCTAGATTATAAAAGATGTGTTGGATCCCCATGGCTTGGTCATAACAGTATATGTGGCCTACCATGTCACAAGTAACTTGATTTATTATATTGGTAACATGATTTCTCGAATGATGTTCTTGGTTTCTTCGCTGAATCCTAATAACACCAAAGGTTTTTGGAAAATTTCAGAATTTGGGATGTTCATTTTGTTGAGATTTTCAAGTAGGATGACATTAAATGAACTCTTGCCATCTATCTACATCATCATACTTGAAACTCTCAATAAAATGAACATCTCAACAAAATGAACATCTTGGATTCTGAAATTGTCTGAAGATCTTTGATGTTGTTAGGATTCAATAGAGAAACCAAGAACATCAATGGAGACATCATGTTACCAATATAATCTATCAAGATTCTTCTGACATGGTTAGTCACATATAATGTTATGTCCAAGCCATCATGATGGGGATCCAACACATCTTCTTTATAATCTAGAAATGTTTATTTTAAAGGACTCAATGTTTCTTCTCTTTTACCATGTGCCTTTTGACTTAGTCCATGTCTTTTTGAATAAGTCTTTAACCCTACATTGATCAATACAAGAAATACGATGGTAGTGCCAATATGTTGGCTAGTTCAAGATATTGGGATATTCTAGATGTTAGTATAAATTCAAGTTGGTAGGCATAATAAAGTAAAGATGAAAATATTACACATAGTTTAAATGTAATGAAATAATTAAGAAAAAAAACATGGTGTAAAAATTGAAATTTTCGGTAAACTAAGTGACTTTATTGCAATTTGGGCAAATTAGTTACCGGAGAATAGAAAAAACTGATCATGGTTGATACTGCAACAAAATTATAAAAATAATGACATAATTAAGAAAAAAACAAGATGATATCAAAATAGAAACTTTCGGGAGATTTAGTGACTTTTATACAATTTAGAATGACAAAATAAATAAACGCTACTATATTGGCGAAATTTATGGTTTAACTACTATATTTAGTTCTCAATAAAAATTATTTAAGTTTGACAAAAAAATTTTTTTGTTAATGTCGATCGCTTTGACATAGATAAAAAAACATTGCTAGTATTTAGTGTTAAACTTTAGTGTCTAACATATTTATTAAAATCATTAAACTTGTTAAATTTTTTCTTGTTATCACCATTTTAACTTGGTATAAATGTTAAAATGATATGACATAGAAAAATATAGGGAAGTAATTCGTAGGCAATAATTTTTTTGCCATACACAATAATTAATGCATTACAGAGTTGTACAATACAACACTTTAAAGCACAAATTATTGTGTAGGGAGAAAAAATATTGTGTACGAATCAGTTCCAAAAAATATAGTGTTTAAATCACATGATAACTAAAATATAATCACTTTTATCTAATCTGCCATTTATAAAATCTAAACTACATGGTTTCCATTTTTTATCTGTAAGAAACACAGTAAAATTCTATAGTCACACAACCATAATTCCAGGTCGAAAGGGCAGCTTCTGATTTGAGAAACACCAATGTTAGACTCAAAGATACAGTAACAAAGGTAACGAATTATATAAATCTTTTTTGAGATTCTTTTATTTGTTTATATATTTTTTTATTTAATTGTATGTGTCGGTGAATATTTTTTTAGTTGAGATCTAGCAGAAACTTTTGTGTGGATATCATACTCTTATGTTTAATTCTTGGGATCGCCGCATACCTATACAAGTAAGTTATATTTCTTAGTTAAAACATCACCCTTGAAAAATATTAGTCAAAAACATGATAGATTTTTATCAGATTTATGTAGTTCGACTACATCAAACTTATTACATATTTATTGTTATTGCAGTGTATTAAAGTGAATTTTACAAGGTCAAGATACAATATTTGATGATTCGGTACTTTTATTGTTGGGTACGAGAACGACAAAACGCAAATGCTTTATATGTAATTTTTGGAAGGCAGAATTTTATAGAAAGTCAGAAACTGTTATAGTTTGTGTCTTATTTTGCTTGATTTTATTTAAGAGGCCTGATATTCCATCAAAGTTTTTTATCTATCCATTGAAAAATAATAGTTTGACAAATATACCTTCATTTACTCATTTAATTCATCAAACTTTTCTCTTTCTTCGGTTCTTGTTATTTCTCCTCCACCTCCACCTCCACCTATTTTCAATTCTAAAGAAATGAATCACACCCACTTTCAAATCAAAATGTCTTACTTTAGGATCAGGTTGTTAGGTCTTTACTCAAAAATACGATTTTAAAATCGGTAAAAATAACAACAGAAGTTTTAAAAATGTTGAATAAAATTAAAACTATTTTACCCACTAATGATCATTTTGCAAGAGTTAGAAATATTAATACAACCATAGAAGGGAAAACATAACAATCATTGAAAACTTTGATCATCATGGATGGTTGGAAGTTGATGAATTGTAGCATGAAACTCTAAAGCATGAGCTCTCTACAAGTATCCACCAAACAAGAGTAGAACCGTAAAAACATACTAGTATTCACTTGTAATTTGCTATTCATAAGCATTTGAAATATACACCAAATATATGTTCAAAGGTGAAGTAACAAAGGGACATTTTTTGACATCAAAATGCAAGAGAATAGAGGAGAAGAAGAGCTTGCAAAGCTCGAAATTTGGCAGCCCCATTGGAGTTTCTCATGCCCACGGTTCATAGCCAAAAGGAAGAAGAAGAAGATGCAAGAACTTCTCCCAAAAGCCTTCCAAGACCTTCCTTATATAATGACCAAAAAATTTAAGGGGGACAATAAAGTAAAATGAGTGACAACATTGTCTCAAACATGGAAAAAGAAGATCATGTTTGGTTTCCTTACAATTTTCGAAAAAAGCATGCACAAAAGAAGACAAAAATTATCTCATGACTAGTTTATATACACATGCATGTTATCTTTATAAAAATCAATCATTTTTATAAAGAATTCCCAATATATATATATATATATATATATATATATATATATATATATTATATATATATATATATCTTATTTTTTATAAAACTATTTTTTATATAAATTGTAACTAGCTTATTTTATGTAAAACTATCTTTTATATAAATTGAACTGGTTTATTAAGATATAAATATAACTTATAAATTATCATACTTTATGATATATTTCATAAGTTATTATTTCTCCAATAAATATTATTTCCACAAATAATAAATTTTCAATTAGTAAAATATTATTTCTATGAAATAATAATTTTCCAACTAAATACAAGTGTTGATATATCTATTAATAATCAAATTATACTAATAAATAATCAATTGACGGTAACTCGCTATATGGTGTGACCCTATAGGATCATATATTATTAGCAATATCATTCTATAATGACTCTTGGGCATACTAGATCTTTCAATCTCCCACTTTCACAAGACTCATCATAGATTGATATGACAATGGTGAACGTCTAGCAACATTTCACTGCCCCCAATTACATATAACAAAGAATGGCATTCATCAACATCTAATTCCCAAAAGCTCTAAGCTTCAATTGATATATTAAGTTAAGTTTATGAATTATCCCTTTGTTACAGACATCCTGTTGAACATGAGCCTTGGATCACAATCAATCTCATTTGTAATTCAACTTTAGGTAATGCGCGTTAGATGTCTAACTCTCAACACATAAGAGGAACAAATCTCATCTTGACTATATAAGCCTCTTGCATAGTTCACACCATACC